AGACTAGACTATAGACTAGACAATAGACTAGACTATAGACTAGACTATAGACTAGACTATAGACTAGACTATATACTAGACTATATACTAGACTATAGACTAGACTATAGACTCGACTATAGACTAGACTATAGACTAGACTATAGACTAGACTATAGACTATACTATTGACTAGACTATAGACTAGATTATAGACTAGACTATAGACTATACTATAGACTAGACTATAGACTAGACTATAGTCTAGACTATAGACTAGACTATAGACTAGACTAAAGACTAGACTATAGACTAGACTATAGACTAGACTATAGACTAGACTATAGACTAGACTATAGACTAGACTATAGACTAGACTATAGACTAGACTATAGACTAGACTATAGACTAGACTATAGACTAGACTATAGACTAGACTATAGACTAGACTATAGACTAGCCAATAGACTAGCCGATAGACTAGACTATAGACTAGACTATAGACTAGACTATAGACTAGATTATAGACTAGACTATAGACTAGACTATAGACTAGACTATAGACTAGACTATAGACTAGACTATAGACTAGACTATAGACTAGACTATAGACTAGACTATAGACTAGACTATAGACTAGACTATAGACTAGACTATAGACTAGACTATAGACTAGACTATAGACTAGACTATAGACCAGACTATAGACTAGACTAGACTATAGACTAGATTATAGACTAGGCTATAGACTAGACTATAGACTAGACTATAGACTAGACTATAGACTAGACTATAGACTAAACTATAGACTAGACTATAGACTAGACTATAGACTAGACTATAGACTAGACTATAGACTAGACTATAGACTAGACTATAGACTAGACTATAGACTAGACTATAGACTAGACTATAGACTAGACTATAGACTAGACTATAGACTAGACTATAGACTAGACTATAGACTAGACTATAGACTAGACTATAGACTAGACTATAGACTAGATAGACTAGACTATAGACTAGACTATAGACTAGACTATAGACTAGACTATAGACTAGACTATAGACTAGACTATAGACTAGACTATAGACTAGACTATAGACTAGACTATAGACTAGACTATAGACTAGACTATAGACTAGACTATAGACTAGACTATAGACTAGACTATAGACTAGACTATAGACTAGACTATAGACTAGACTATAGACTAGACTATAGACTAGACTATAGACTAGACTATAGACTAGACTATAGACTAGACTATAGACTAGACTATAGACTAGACTAGACTAGACTAGACTAGACTATAGACTAGACTATAGACTAGACTATAGACTAGACTATAGACTAGACTATAGACTAGACTATAGACTAGACTATAGACTAGACTATAGACTAGACTATAGACTAGACTATAGACTAGACTATAGACTAGACTATAGACTAGACTATAGACTAGACTAGACTATAGACTAGACTATAGACTAGACTATAGACTAGACTATAGACTAGACTATAGACTAGACTATAGACTAGACTATAGACTAGACTATAGACTAGACTATAGACTAGACTATAGACTAGACTATAGACTAGACTATAGACTAGACTATAGACTAGACTATAGACTAGACTATAGACTAGACTATAGACTAGACTATAGACTGGACTATAGACTAGACTATAGATTAGACTATAGATTAGACTATAGATTAGACTATAGACCAGACTATAGACTACACTCTAGACTAGACTATAGACTAGACTATAGACTAGACCACAGACTAGACTACAGACTAGACTATAGATTAGACTATAGATTAGACTATAGATTAGACTATAGATTAGACTATAGACTAGACTATATACTAGACTTTAGACTAGACTATAGACTACACTATAGATTACACTATAGACTACACTATAGATTACACTATAGACTACGCTATAGACTACACAATAGACTATAGACACTATAGACTACACTATAGACTACACTATAGACTAGACTATAGACTAGACTAGACCACAGACTAGACTACAGACTAGACTATAGACTAGGCTATGGATTAGACTAGTCTATAGACTAGACTATGGACTGTGCTATAGACTATGGAATAAACTAAAGACTCCTTCTTATAGACTACACTATAGTCCAGATAACTATCGTTCAAAGTATGACCTTAACTATAATCCAGACTATAGATTAGACTATAGTACAGATTATAGAATAAGCTATAGACTAAACTATAGACTATTGTGTGACTAGAATATAGACTAAATGATAAATTAAACTCTCTTGAGGCAAGGGAAGTTATTCAAAACGAGTAGCAAAACCTCTTTTTTAATGGTGAGGATCCGTTCTACTGCTAACACTTCTTAAACCTAGTTTAAGTGTAATTTTGTCACTCACTGTTTAACCAAAAATGAATTCACACACACTCTTTTACTCCTACTTAAAAATTTAAATATTTTTTTATTTTGGGGAAAAAACATTTTTGAGCTTAATTACTTCTATTCTTTATTTTATATTAAAAGAACAAGAAATAGTTCTTATAGATAGGTTTTTGTTTATTACATTAATTTTAGTTATTATTATGTTATATAATGAGCAAACTAATAATGACGTGATGATAAATGATGTAAGCTTTGGAAATGCTGATTAAAACAACTGGTCACATACTTGTACAGCGTGAGACGGGACATACGATTCAATTAAAATAATCATCATTAGGCTTATAGAAAAAGAAAACAAGAAATTATAGAACTATGTACATATTTTTTTAAATCTAGAGTATGAAGTCATGCTTAAATTAAGATATAAATAAAACACTATAATAAAATATATTATGTATAAAAAAATAATTAATAGAATGAGTTAGAAATAAACAAATTAAATCGAAACAAAGGGTGTTGCAATAAGTTTAATCCAATTATATTGCACTTACTGCTATCAGTTCAGTAATTAAGAGGAAATAGTTAAAGATTTTTATTAACAGGACCAGCTAAACTAATTTATATAGTTGTCCTCATTTTTTGTGCTATTAATAAATATGTCAATTTACTTGTTGCCAATTTTTCTTTACTTTCTTTATAAAATTTAGGTTGGGCTTTTCCTTTTATTCCAACGCCTAGCCATAAATTTATATATTTTCAGCTACGTGTTGGTATTCTTTTTTTTTTTTGGCTTACTATACTTTTAATTTATGATGCATTTTATTATTTTTTTATTTGTTTATAAATTAATATGCCACTCGTAATTACCGTAGGCTAATAAACAGAAATAAATTACTTTTTTTGTCACGGTGGGAAACTTATTATACACCTTAATTTTGATAACACCTGCGAGTAGTAACAAACTTCGCTCCACCCAGAAAGTGACATGACACTTAATCCTATATTAATTTGATTTTGTATCAGTACTCGTGATAATAACGATATGGGAAAATTTTATATGAAAGGGAATGTTAACATTAAGTGTCGAATAAAGTCTATAGATTGTTCTACAGTTAGACTAGACTGGATTATGGCCCATAATATAGTCTATGACAAGACTGTAGTCCATATTATACACTAGTATATAGTGAAATAATCCTGATTAAAGACTAAACTATAGTCCAGGCTATAGACTGAACTATAGTTCAGACTATAGACCGAACTATGGTCCAGACTATAGACTAAACTATAGTCAAGACTATAAACTAAACCATAGTCCAGACTATAAACTAGACCATATTCCAGACTATAGTCCAGACTTAACTCTAAACTATAGTCTAGAATATAGTCCAGACTATAAACTAGACTATATACAAAACTATTTAGACCATAGACTATACTACTTAGTCCAGACTATCGATTTTAGTTCAAACTTTATACTAGACTACAGAACACATTACACATGACTATTAACTATACTATAGACTAGACATTAGTCCAGACGAGAGTATAGTCCAGACAATAGACTAGACTATAGTGCAGACTACAGTCCAGACTATAAACAATACTATAGTGCAGACTATAGACTGGACTATAGTCCGGACAAAAAACTAGACTATAGTCCAGACAATAGACTAGATTGTAGTCCGGACTATACACTAACTATAGTCCAGACTATGAACTATTCTATGGTACTGGACTATAATCTATAGTCTGTACTATAGACTAGACTTTAGTCCAGACTATATAGACTAGACTTTAGTCCAGACTATATAGACTAGACTTTAGTCCGGACTATATAGACTAGACTTTAATCCAGACTATATAGACTAGACTAAAGTCCAGACTATATAGACTAGACTAAAGTCCAGACTATATAGACTAGACTAAAGTCCAGACTATATAGACTAGACTAAAGTCCAGAATATATAGACTAGACTATAGTCCTGACTATATAGAATAGAATATAGTCTAGTCTATAGTCTGAACTGTAGGCTGGACTGTGGTCTACTCCATAGTAGACTACTACAGTCCATACTATAGACTAGACTATAGTCCAGACTATAGACTATACCATAGTACAGACTATAGACTAGACCATAGTCCAGACTATAGACTAGACCACAGTCCAGACTATAGACTTGACCATAGTCCAGACTATAGACTATACTATAGTCCAGACTATAGACTAGACTGTAATCCAGACTATAGACTAGACTATAGCCCAGACTATAGATTAGACTATAGCCCAGACTATAGACTAGACTATAGTCCAAACTATAGACTAGACTATAGTCCAAACTATAGACTAGGCTATAGTCCAAACTATAGACTAGGCTATAGTCCAAACTATAGACTAGGCTATAGTCCAGACTATAGACTATGCTATAGCCCAGACTATAGACTAGACTAAAGTCCACATTTTGGAATAGAGTGTTATACAGACTTTAGTTCAGACTATTGATTATATTGTAATACTAACTATGGAACTATCGACAACTTTACGCTGAACCTTTATTTTCCTGTTTCTCCACGATTTGAAAGCTTAACTCCTTTACTGCCCACTTCTCAACTTCTATTCTTCCGGTTATTTAAAAAATATCTTTCTTCTAATTTCTGTGTGATCAGTTCCGTTACTCTTCTAATGTGTCGTAATTCTTCACTTCACTTCTATATACAAAATCTTTCCTCTGTGTAAGTCCACAAGCCAAAAATATAAATTCTTGCTATTAAACTCATCCATTTATTTTATTCCAAATAACTTTTAGATTTTTACCATAATTTGTATAGCTTTAATAGAATGTGTCAACGATCACTCGTACAGCAGTCAAGCCATGTTGATATGTGGTACTCTAACAGGTTATCTGATCATCTGCACGGCTTTAACAATTGGTAAAATTGGAGTTTTTATGGTGTTTTTCTTTTTCTCTAAAGCAAATCTGTTTTCTAGGTGAACTTTTGGATTCCATACTTGATAAACGTCTAAGTTGTCTTTTTAATTTGGCCGGCTTTATTTTATTTATAGCCACGGGTGCTGTTATAATTGCTATATGGTCTCCCGAATATTTAAGACATAACGATAGAAATGCTATTATAGTGGCTGGTGCTGTGGCTATAGTTAATGGTTTTATTTTCATAATAGAAATGTTTGTGATTTTAAGAAGTTAAATGAAATGGAATTTTTGAATGTTTTTGGAAGAATAAAAAAATCTTTTGAAAGAAATAAAAATTTTAGGAATTTTATGGTAGTTTTTAGATATTTTAATTTTGTGGAAAAATTTTTTAAAATTTTAATTTTTATTAACTTTATGTTTGTATGTTTGCTTTACAGGTCATTGCCATTGTCTGCATTATCTTGTGGGAAACAAATGGAAACTTCTCCAATAATGCCTTGATTGTTTGCGGTACCATGGGCGGTTTCACCATTATCTGTGGTGTTCTTTTATTGGGTAAGTTTAAAATTTTATAAAGATCTGCTTAAAGTGATGTTTTTTATAAACTCCTTTTATTCCTTACAGGACACATTATCAACTCGGTGGTAGAAAAACGTCTCAATGGTTTATTCTCCATCATTGGCTGCGTATTGTTTGTCATTTCTGGTGCCTTGATCATTGATCAATGGCACGATAGATCTGATCTTTTGTTCAAGGAAAGCAAACGTAATGCTTTAGCTGCCGGTTCTTTGATGATCATCAATGGTGCTGTCTTCCTTATGGACACCATTTCCATTTTCAGAACGTAAATTTTTCGACAAATTTAACAACATGTTTATGTTTAATGGTTTTAAGAAATAAGAATCCTCAGATGAATTAATGTTTTGTTTAATTTTATTCTTTCTCTCTCTATCTCTCTATATACATATTACATACATCCATATATATATAAATAGTTTATAAGTTTTTAAAACAATTCAACAAATTTTCTACATTCCCCCCATTCATATTGTTCTCCAAAACCTACTCCTTGAATTCCTTAAATCCTTGTCTTTTTTGTTTAAAAAACTTAGTTTTATATATTTCAAAAATCAATTTTTACAAAACAAACGTGTATTTATTATAAATATTATTATTGTTCTTAAACATAAAAAAATATGTATAAATATTTTGCTTTTTAATAAAGAGTTTTTTACTGTCTGTTTAAATTTTACAACAAAATGTTTGCTGGGTGGTGTGTTTCTTTGTAAAAAAAACTGAAAATCAAAGGCTTTTTTTGTATTTTGCGTGTGGTTACTGGCAGTGTTTGTGTATTATTCCCCCTGTATGTGTTTTTGTGTCAAAGTGTGTGTTTTTTATTAAATTAATATTTTTTAATTAATTTTTTTATATTCTTTTTAAAATTTCTTTAGTCGCGCTGAAATACCCGTCATACGAGAGGTCAGTAAAAATAAACTGGAAATAAATCGTTATTGAGGGCTTTAGCAGCCTCATTTTGGACTGCTGCTAAAACTACATATATTTTTTAAAATACTTTCTAGTTTTACCTCATTTTTATTTAATGTCTTTAATTTGTAAGTTTATATTCTAATTTTATAATTTACTTTTAAGTTTTAAACCAAAGTGTGATATTTTAATTTTAATTATAGTTTTAGTTAATTTTTTTGATATAATTTTTATGCGAAAAATAAATAAATGTAGCAAAAGGATATGGACAATTTTAAAGACGTTCTTTTAAAATTTAGGTAATAGGAATTAACATTTTTCAATTTTTTTTTAATATTTAAACGTTAAGATTATAAACTAAAGTTCAGACTTTAAACTAAACCATAGACTAGAACAATGCAAAATATATATTAGATTAAAATCCATAATACAGGTCAGAATTTAGAGCAGATTGTAGTCCAGACTATAGACTAGCACGTAGTTCACAATTTTGTCTACAGTGTAGTCCACAGTCTATCTATATATTCATGATTAGTCTGTAGTCCGGACTATTGTGTAGCCTAAAGTCTGGACTAAAGTATATTTTATTGTCTGAAATAGAGGTTTTACTATAGTCTAGTTCACAGTGTAGTCTTAAATCAGGACTTTAGTCTGGACTACAGTCTAGTATTTAGACTAAACTATAATACAGATTGTAAATTAGTCTATATATGAAACTATTCTCCACACTAGACTATATTCCAAACCATAGACAAGAATCTAATCCAAACAATAGATTAGAGTCCAGACAATAGCCCAGACTATAGAACAAACTTAAAAGTAGACTATAGTTTAGACGAACGTCCAGAGTATATATTAGACAATATTACAGACTACAGAATAGACTAGACTGTAGCCCAGACTCTAAACTAGACTGTCCAGATATAGGTCAGATTACAGTCCAGACTATACGGTAGACTATAACTGAAGTATATTTTATTGTCTGAAATACAGTTTTCACTACAGTCTAGTCCGTAGTGTAGTCTATAATCAGGGCTATAGATTTAGATTTAACTATAATACAGATTGTAAACTAGTCTATATATGAAACTATTCTCCACACTAGACTATATTCCAAAGCATAGACGAGAATCTAATCCAAACAATAGATTAGAGTCCAGACAATAGCCCAGACTATAGAACAAACTTTAAAGTAGACTATAGTTTAGACGAACGTCCAGAGTATATATTAGACAATATTACAGACTACACAATAGACTACACTATAGTCCAGACTCTAAACTAGACAGTTCAGACATATGTAGGTCAGATTCAGACTATACGATAGACTATAACTGAAGCATATTTTATTGTCTGAAATACAGTTTGCACTACAGTCTAGTCCGCAGTGTAGTCTATAATCAGGGCTATAGTCTGGACTACAATCTAGTATTTAGACTAAACTATAATACAGACTATGGATTAGTATGTAGTTCACAATTTTGTCTATAGTCTTGTCCACGGTTCAATCTATAATCATCATTAATCTAGTCTATAGTCTGGACTATTGTGTAGCCTAAAGTCCAGACTAAAGTACATTTTATTGTCTGAAATACAGTTTTCACTACAATCTAGTCCGCATTTTAGTCTATAATCAGGACTATAGTCTGGACTACAGTCTAGTATTTAGACTAAACTATAATACAGATTGTAGATTAGTCTATATATGAAACTATTCTCCACACTAGACTATATTCCAAACCATAGACAAGAATCTAATCCAAACAATAGATTAGAGTCCAGACAATAGCCCAGACTATAGAACAAACTTTAAAGTAGACTATAGTTTAGACTATAGATTAGACGAACGTCCAGAGTAAATATTAAACAATATTACAGACTAGACTGTAGTCCAGACTCTAAACTAGACTGTAGTTTAGACTTTAAGATAAGATTTTATCCCAGACAATATAGTAAATAGTCCATACTAGATACTAGACAGTACTAAATACTATGAACTAGACTATAGTCCATACTAAATATTAGACCATAGTCCAGACTACGGACTAGTCTATTATCTAGATTATAGTCTAGACATAGGTTAGATTACAGTCCAGACTATAGCATAGGCTATAGCCTAGTCTCAGTCTATAGAATAGATTAAATTCCAGATTAGATTATATTATACTCCAGACAATAAAGTAGAAAGTCCATACTATATACTAGACATCATTACATACCATGAACGAGGCTATAGTCCATACTAAATATTATACCATAATCTAGGCAACGGAGTAGACTATTATCTATAGACTTGATTATACTAGAGTATAATCATGATTATAGATAGACTGTGGACTAGACTATAAACAAAACTGTTTTACACTATAGACTACACTTTACTCATGACTTAAGAGTAGACCGTAGTCCAGACTAGACGAACTAGACTATTATCCAGACTATAGATCAGTTTGTAGACTAAACTATAGTCCTGACATGTCAGTGTACTATACTACAGTCCAGATTATAAAATATATTCCGAACAATAGATAGACTATAGTCCAGACTATAAACTAGAACGTCTATAGACTATACATAAAACTAAACTATAGTCCAGACTATAGACGACACTGTATTCATGTTTATAGACAAGACTAGACAATAGTCCAGACTATGGTCTTGACTATAGTCCATACTAGAGAAAAGACTGTAGTCCAGACTATTAACTGGACTATAGTTTAGACTATGGGCTAGATAATACCGCACGCTACGGACTAGAATATTGTTAAGACTATATACTATAGTACAGTTTAAAGACTGGACTGTAGTCCAAATAGTAGACTAAATTAAAGACCAGACTGTACAGTACTATCAAGATTCTAAACTTAACTGGAATATTGTCCAGATTATAAACTACTTGCAAAAGGTAGGTCTTTAGATTTATTAATTGTTATAACATTCACATACATACATACATACATATGTATATTATAAGAGGAGCATTATTGGAGACAAGTGGAATTGACCACAATGGATTCCTCTTTTTCGTAATGTAATGAACAGTTGCATTCCCTTTTTTATATATTACCCACTATTCGCCAGTCGTTTGACGACTGCAGTCACAATTGTAATACTTACTTACATTTAATCACAACAAAAAAATGCTCACTGTTTATATTACAGTTCAACAACAACAATCCTTCTTTATTTGCGCTCTTTATTATGACTCCTTCTCACTACATCACACCATAAAACAACAACAAACACATTAGCGTGTTTAGCAAACAATAACAAAACAAACAATTGCATCACTTGTTTGTTCTTCTTCTTTTAGTTTTCTAGAAATTTTACACGCGTTCGGTCGTTTCGATGCTTTGTGGTCGTTTAATTAATTAAAAACCCTGTTAAAAGTTAAGAAATTATAAATATTTTTGCATAAAAATAAAATTTAATTATTGATTAATATTTGTGTGTAAAAATATCGAAGAAAATCAACAAGTAAATTATTGAAATATGAAATGCAAAATTTTGAAGAAAAAAAAAATGCAATTTGCAGCCGGTCATGTGTTTGCTTAGTTTGCTTTATTTTTGTCATTCGTTGAGTGAAGTGTTGGTGTGTGTTTATGAAAGTGTGTTTTGTAAGAAAAAGTTTGAAAATGAGCTTAATGCAAAAAAGAAGGTTGAAAAAAAGCTTTTAAAAATAAAAGAAAGGAAATTAAAAAGTAAAATAGCTTTTGTATTTATGTATCTAGTTAATGGAGGAAGAGGAAATAAAGTGTTTAGATCTGTTGGAAATGGAAATTAATAAATTAATAAACAAAAGCGGAGAAGCAACAAGTGTTAATTAAGGTGAGTAACTATTTTGTAATTAATCATTTTTCGTAAATATGTATTGTACCTATATAGTAGCTAAATTTTTGAAAAATAATTATCATTGATTTATTTTTTGCAACAAGTTGATTAATTTTCTATTAAATAATATATGTATTGCGATGAAAGTTAGAAAATTTTTCATCCCAGCATTTCGGTCGGATAGTCCCGAATTACTTATTTAACCTACCACCGACTGCCCAGGAGACTAGCTATTTTAAAATGTGCTTGTCCTACGAGGAAGTCAATCGTCGTCGGTTAGACATTAATGGAAATTACTGTGGTTGTCGGATGCATTGACTCTTTGTCGAACTTCTTGATTTAACGTCTGCTTTTTTAACTGTTAAGTTCATGTTTATTTCTTTTTAACAATTGAAAAAAACTACAAAATTAAAAAAGTATTTATAAATATTATAGCATACATTTAGGATCAATATAAAAATGCCTTAACAGTACATTTATGTTACTTACAGACTCATGTTCAATGTGAATGTTACAGAACAGCAGGGTTGGGAAAATTGATTCAGTTGTAGTTTTTTTGTTACAATTTTATTCTTAAAAGCACAACAGCAAAATTGTACCTTCTATTTTACAATATCTTATATTGTTAATAAAGAACTAGTCTATGGACCAGGCGATGTTCTATATTATAGATAAATGGACTAGCCTGAAAGACTATGGACTAGTCTAGTTACTAGCCTATGGGTTATTCTATTAACTAGTTTATTTACTAGTCGGTATTCTATTTTATACTATAGAGAAGTGAATTGATTAGTCTATTGATTATCCTGTGGATTAGGGAGGACTAGTATTGGGACTATTGAGAAGTTTTTGGACTAGTCTGTAAGTCTATGGACTAATCTATTGACGAGTCTATTGATTAGCCTATGTGGTAGTCAATTGATTAACCTGGGACTTTTCTTAGAACTAGCCTATTGACTATCCTATGAGTCTATGACAAGTCTATTAACTAGTCTGTGTGCTAGTCTATAGATTAGTCAATAGACTAGTCTTGGGATTAGTCTATAGAATTGTTTAGGGATTAGTCTAATGACTAGTTTGTTGACGAGTCTATTGACTAGCCTTGGACTATTGAATTTTCTTAGAACTAGCCTATCGACTATCCTATGAGTCTATAGAGTGGTAGGTATGTGGTAGTTTATTGACTAGTCTATGTGCTAGTCTATGACTAGTCTGTGTGCTATTCTATTGACTGGTCTGTGTGCTAGTCTATTGACTAGTCTTTATCTATTGACTACTCAAATTGTCAAATATATTATCTAATATACTGGCTAGTCTATTGACTTTCTAGTCAAGGACTGGTCTATAGTCAACTAGACCAGTCCTTGTCTAGAAAGTCCTTGCTAGATTATTGTCTAGTCCATTGACTAGATTATTTACTAGTCTATCGACTAGTTAATGCTTAGTCT